ATGTCCGAAAATTTTGTTCCAAGAAATTAAGTAAAAATTATAATGTTTTCAATTTTTTGCGTTAAACGTCTGTCGAAAAACGAACAGAATTTCAACAGAATTTGCAATTTTTCATACGTGAGTCTAACTATATCTAAGTATTAAAGGATTTCAACAGAACGAAAAAGTATTTTAACGGTTCTCACCAACGCATTGTTATGCGAAACTATATGTGTCTTTCGAATTAACGTATTCATTTGAACGATCTATTTACACTGAAATAATATTTTACGATATAATGATATTATAAAGAATAACAAAATCTTTCGAGCCAATGTATCGAAGAATTGCTGAACAGTTCAAGACTCATTTTGTTTAAAAATATTTCTTGGAAAGATACAATCATTTTCATAGAAATATGACAAAAATTGTCCAACATCTCATGACTTTTTCTCATATAAAAAATCGCGAACGATGATTTGAAAATAAATAAATGAAATTTCATGAATAAAATGAATAAACTTCATGAGTAAAATTCTTTGGTACATGAGGACGCACGTTCGACTACCGTTGGGGTCCACTTAAACTTATTATACAATATATAACATCTATACAAAATAATTGAAGTAATTTATTATGAAGCGAAGTGCGTACGAAATGATCAAGAAATATGCTCGTGCGTGATTCTAGACTAGCCATTCGATTTTTTGGTCATTTCGTGCAGTGATATACATGCGTATTGATATAGTTAAAATTACTCATGTATTATATACATTGCAATGTATACAAATTATCTATAACGGCGGAAAGTCTTTCGGTGTGAGAGTTAAAATGAGACTATTTATTCTCTTCTGGAGTCATCCAATTGCAAAATACGTAACTGACACTTGTCATGCCATTTGCCCATTATTGCACCTGAAATACATGATTAGGTTGGTGTGGAGAGCATCAGAAATAGTGTTGTTCCTTCCAGAACTATGAGGAAATGTTTGTTATTTATATTGTATTATATGAATCATGATTTCTTCCAAAATAGCGATAGGTCGTTATGGATTTAGTGCCGACAATTTGATGGAGTAGAATTGTAACTGTTTCGTTGTGATTTTCGAAATGTTAAATGCACCATTTAGAATTCCATCTGAATTTTCAAATGCATTGAATCCTTATAATTCAATGAAACCCTGTGAATATTCAGGTTTTCACTGATATTTTCAACAGATTGATCAATTTTTTTCATGAATATTGAATATTCATTGAATATTTATAGTGTATTATTTTTCAAATATAAAAATGTTGTCATTTCCCACTCGTGACGAATGACATTTCCCATTTCTTAAGCAAAATTCAAAGAAAATTGCTCTAGAATTCTGCTGGATCTCAAGAAAACTTGTTTTGCTGGAGAATCCAGTATGAAAATTCAAGGAAAATCTGAACGTTCATGGGGCTATGACTTTTGAAGCTTTTGTTAAATATTTATTGTCAAAACTTGATTTCTTCCAAGCTAGTCATAGATCGTTAAGACTTTATTGTCAATAATTTAATAGAGTAGAATGGTAACTGTTTCGTTGTAATTTCCAAAATGTTAAATGTACCCTCTAGACTTCCATCTAAGTTTTCCAATGCATTGAATCCTTAGAATTGAATCAAACCCTGTGAATAGTCGGGTAGATCAATATTCTTTATGATGCGGGAATTTTATTATCAGAATTGAATTTTCATAATTATGAAGAATGGGATTTCCCATCGCTCTAGGAAAACCAATAAAAAAATCACTACATAACTCCTGAATCGCAAGAAGACTTGATTTCTTGAAGAAATCAGCGTGGAAATTTAAGGAAAATCTGAAAGTTCATGGACCTATGAATTCCGAGAAGCCTTCGTTAGTCATTTCTTGTCGAAACCAAATTTCTTCCAAGCTAGTCATAGATCGTTATGGATTTGTTGTCGATAATTCAATAGAGTAGAATAGTAAGTGTTTCCTTGTAATTTCCAAAATGTTGATTACACCGTTTACAATTTCATCTGAATTTTCCAAAGCACAGCCGTAAGAAACCTGAACATGGCGCAAAAGAATTTAAATAATTCGAAAAGATCTAATTCACAAAACAAAACCTGAACATTCATGAAGTTTCCCATTGAATTGAGATTTTTCTTGGAAAAATCATCAGAAAATTCTGAACAGTATACCGTCATCATCCACAAATTGTTAATAACGCATAATAACTCTGCATTAGATTCCAAGTAGCCCTGTAGCATAAGATTAATCTCCAATCCAGTGATTTAGCTTGTCTCCGCGAATGTCATTGACGCCTACCTCGTCACGATCACAAATATAAAAATTGACCAGTGTTTCATCGCGACGATTATAAAATATTTTACAATCAAAAAGACTGGACTGCGCATAAAAATGAAATTATATAAATTGTAAATGTATTTCCTGTCAACGTACGAAGAAGAAAAAAATATAACACAAACTGTCTTTCAAGAGTAACTCGCTTGTTCGACGCACTAGTATGCCATTTGTGCATACACTTTTACTGTTTTTGAATAAGAAAAAATTTTATAATAGATGAAAATGAAATGATGGAAAGGAAAGAACAAAATCAAGTTGATGACGCTTGATGAAAAATTTTAATCTCACAGTTTACCTGATCGTATGATATACTTCATTCACCAGCCATTTTATTCGCAACAGTGAATATAAATGCGAAATTTACAAGTATTGATATTAACGATAGATACTAATTGAAAATATTGATATGGTTCAACCATGAGATGATAATTAATGTTCGACGTGTCAGTTACAATCTTTTAGCGTCTGAAAGTCTTATTTTTTTATATGTACTCGAGCCACGAAACTATTCTGCGATGCTTGTACGTTATAAGAAAATGTGAAAGTTTTAATGAGTATATCGTCGCCCAAGAAAATAAAAATATACCATTGAGAATTAAAAAAATGAAAATGTAACTAAATGTATTAATTGCGTTGATCATTCGACGATTTTTAATTTTTTACATCTCTAACAACCATCCAGGCTGACAAAGAAACGAGAAATAATCATTCATAAAAATCTAAATCATGGATGAAAATTTTTTACAATTTTTTGGGTATTATCAAATATTTTTTATACCACATTAACAAATTTAATTATATTTATGCACACGCACAGCAGATTCGTAAATTATAAGAACACTGCGATCTTCATACCTCCAATGGGTTACAGCCAATCGCATTAGCGTGAAATATGTTCGCACACAAAACGTGTAATATATATTTGGAAAAAACAGAAGACATTATAATATTGTAGCCCTTGTATGTGATTATGTGGCAAAATGATATTGATAATGAAGAAAACTCTCTACAGCTATTGTAACTTTCAGAGTTTAATAAAACGTTTTCACGAACAAATATCATGGGGTTTATCACTACATCTGAGGGTGAAAATAGAAGTTGATGTTTAATTTTCAAGGTGAAAAAATTCCTTCAGCCTTGATTTTGTTACATCCACTGTTGGAAGTTGGTGAGAAATCATTGACAGTTGCATGACAATTTTCAAGGTTGTAAATTTTAATTGGGTGTATTGCATGCACAGAAAACTATTTTTTTATATTTCAGGATATCCCAGTACATTTGGAGATTTCAATAATCCAATTTTATCGCCTGAACTCCGTTCTTATTGCCTGAAATTGATTTTTAGCAAGACACAGAATATGGAAAAATTTGTTAAGAGTCGAAGAAAATCATGTTTAGAGTGGAAGGAAAGGTAGAAAAATTATTTATGAAAAAGGGTTGCAATTGTCAAATAATTGAATTTTTCACATATTTCATGAATCTTTCTCAACAAGCCGACTTTTTAATGCTTTGCTTCATGGAGAATCATGGTAATAAATTAAATCCTGCGACTTTGGTAACCTCCGCGGGGATTCGCCGCCGCGTTATTTAGGCGCCAGCGTTGCCGAATACACTAAATACTGCTCCGGCGCGTTTAGTGAGTTTCCGGCAACATCGCGCAACGGCCAATTTCATTCAACGTGGAAAAGAATAATTCATCCGTTGAAAATAATTTGTTATCTTTCGGAATTTCGGGAATTGCGTTAGTCCAAAGACTACTACAATTTTTAAAAAATCTAGTCAAATCAGTCAAAATTTTTTTTCATTTTCCGGCCAGCCAGTCAACGCGGCCCCTGAAGGAAAAGGACGTGCTGCGGCGTTTCCGCATATGGGGACCTGTCTAAGGTTAAATTGTCTAAGTTTCAGCAATAAAGTCATTGTAAAATATTCTACAACATATCCTGAACCAATTACCAACACCTACACTGTTAGAAATTTATTCAATTTCTACTAACGATTGTAATTGAATCCTCAATGTTCTGGGGTTTAATTCAATTTAAGACATCATTCATAAAAGTTCCCATTCGTCTTGAAAATTCAATAAAATTCAGGACAGCTCAGATTTCCAATCAATTGAGAATCCCGTAAAATAATGGCCTGAATTTTCATTATCTTCAATAATTTTCTTTGTCCTACGGACCGGGAAATGGAAATTGCATTGAATATTCAAAGAAATGACCCGATTCTTCAGTAAAAAAACAGATAAATTTTCTGTAAATTTAGTGCTGTTAAAAATTTCAAGTTTTTTTTATTTGAAACAGTGTAGCGCCTCTACACGCGGTAATATCATCACAAGATAACTGGCATTCCGCCGGTAAGCCCTCCTCCAACCCTTGCACCCTCACCCCCAAGAAAAATGCCAGAAACCCTAATCAACGAATGTAGATCAAAAGAAAATGTCCCCAATTCCTCCCCCAAGTACGACCCCCCCCCTCATCGATGTTCACAGACAATTCTAGACGACTCTATAGACGACATTGAGTAACGGGGTTATTTTTAAGTATGACCCACACCGCGATGCCCCATTGTGGAGCAACCCTTAGCCTCTGGAGTCAGGTGGGCGAGCCAGGGGGTGGTTTATCGACCGGAGGACGAACCTCCAGAGCCTCAGTATTCGCGGGACCACCATCCCGTCACAGTGGCGGGAGCCAGTGCTTGACGATTACCGATAAATTGTTTACTAAATATACCCCATCTCGGTTGGAACCATTCAGTGCTCTCGTGACCGTCTGATACTTGATAGAATCATCAAACACCTCCAAGTGAGTAAAATTCCAAACAAATCAGAACTAGAAAAAAAAATCACCTGAGGTGGCATTTTCCCTCTCAGAACCCCCGGAGAATGCCTCCCCAATATTTTCTAAACTCAATAATTCATACATCCGAACGAAGAGCCTCAAAACCCCTCGACTTTCATTCCATAAATTCATCTCACGTTCTAAATATGTACGTTGTGCGCCTCGAGGGCTAAAGTGTTTAAGGACCCTCTCACCCATTCACGCGGTGCAGCCGTTTTCGGCTGAAATGCCTCAAGGTTTTCATTAAAATTTTCCTCCCTCCCCTAAATAAGAAAAAAAAACCACCAACTCTCGGGAATATCAAAAGCCTTCATCAAAGCATTCACGAGAGCACGATAGTGTTATTAGCGAATTGCCACAAGCATTCGGATTTATTTCACGATGCCGTGAAAAAATACACCCCCTGGGGGTATTTTAGGCCACTCCAAGTCAATGCTCCAGAAGTACAGTGATCCTTGTTCTATTATCCGATAACTGTATTTACCTTTATATACCACGTAAAATCGTTTTGGAGCTGCGCCAGTTGGGGTACTGGGTTGGCCTGCCTGGTATTCACGTTATTCACGAGGGAGTCAATGAAATGCCTCGTTTAATGCGCGATTCTAATAATTATCTGAATAAAAAAAATCATAGCGACAGTTTTATTAAACATAACGTAAATAGTAATTGTGCAACGCATTCACATTTCGGGTTTTTCCACAAGAGCTTTGGTAGAAAATAATTCGCCAGTTTATTTCTGACTTTGAATGGCATTTTGATAACTCTCTTGGTATTTTCGAACTTGCAGTTCAAAGATTTTGATGTGAATTGTTGAGAATGAGAGACTGAGTGTAGTTTGTTTGAAAAAGTAAAAGGTAGATGGTAATATTGGTTAATCTTTCGAAAGTCTTTCCTAGCTGATTGGTCAGGGAAAAAATGGTAGTAATTCTCATGAAAGTGATTTTCAAGTTTTAGATAGAATTCAAGTAAATTCATGAGTTTTCAGTGCGAGTGAGATGCAAATTTCACAATTTGATTGAATTTTCAATGGAACATGAATATTCAGAAACAAAATGACATGAATTTTCAATTTTTTCCTGAATTTTCCAAATATTTTCCGGATTTTCAGATCATGTAAACAGAAAATCAATGGATTATTAGATTTTTCAGTGATAAGATTTCCTGAAATTTCAGCGGAAATAAATCATGATAAGAATTTCCGGGATTTGACACGGAAAATTCAGACGAAAATTTTTAACAGCGCATGTACAAGTGTAAAAATGTGAACATGTGTACGCATTTTCTCAAATAATGCGAGCACTTTAGTGAATATCTCTTTTTCTCACATATGAACCCATTAGAGTATCAATCGCCCAATCAATGTCCCAAAAGTTTTATTTCAAAAATTTCCTCCTAGCCCTGTATTTATTTTTTCCCCAAAATACCGCATTTCGATCGTCCGACATTCAATTAAAAGGAATATTCCAACAAAGACCTCTCGCGCTTCAAAATTATCAGTTATTTTCCTCAAACTTCTCTGCACAGAGAAAAATGTGCCAATTGCCGGAAAATTGGACGAAGTTACCGGAAAATAACTGATAAATTTGGAGCGCTTGCAGTATTTGACCTTTTACAGTGCAGTGAAGGTAAAATTATTCTCATAATTTTGCTATTCCTTTCTGCATCTAGTGGCATGGCAACCTTGATCGAAAATTTTCTGTTAAAATAACTAAAGTTCTCGCAGGAATATGACTTTAACCCGTAAAAACGTCGAATGCTGTACTTCAATCGGTCAAAATTCAGATAGGGAATGAAAATTATCATTTTCTTTTTTTGAAATTTAAAAGACAAATTTCAAGAAAAATTTCTTCACTTACAAATTCCGGAAATTAGTCCTAAAGATCATGATCTCATAAACCTCTTACGTAAATGTTTTTACACGATGATTACGAAACCTACAAGCGTCCAATGAATTCTCCTTAATTTTCCCAAGCATTGGTAGCACCCACGATTGCATAAAAACCTACTATTTTAATCGAAACGTGACTATTCCCGAGTGCATGAAATTTTCTGGCAAACATCCAAGATTTTTTCCACGGATGATGCAAAGTGAAAAGGAAATAGGGGGAATAACAAAAGAGGTGAACTCGGTGGGAGGGGGGGAGTGATGTAGATGCAACCCATTGAGGCAGTAACCGTGACACCGCAATTCAGGCCACATTATATCTCTCGTGGTAACTGCCGAGTGCTTGGACAAATAATTATGGAATGCTTGAGGCTCAATACTATCTAGTATCATCGACCCTTCAGATGTGACAATGAAACCCTTGACATGATTTCAGGGTATGGAGAAGTTTTAATTTTGTTATTATTGTTAGAGATTTGGCAGAGAAATGTCTTTTTAAAATCACTCATGATTTTGTACGTTAAATAAAACCCCTCTTTTGACATTTTTTTTATTCAGTTCAACCATATTTTTGAGGAAAATCAATGGATCTAGATATTTACAACAATGAAGATGATTTAATCACATGGAATAAATATTAATTAATTCCAAATAGAGGATTATTACATGTCCATAATTTTGTTTTCCTCATCTAAACAAATATTTCCTTTTCAACTAATAAAATCTACTGGACCAAGAAATTTTTTGTTCATATCAGCCAAAAATCATCTTCAAAATCTGACGAATATTTTTTTATCGTCATTGTTGTCTTGAATTAAATCGGTCGATTGAGCTCGACTATTCAATTTTATCGCTTGGAAATCTTCTCTCGAATTGAGTGGAAAAATTCCACCCCAGAAAGACAACAAAAAACTGTTAAAAAAAACTAAAGTTTCACCTGAATTTTCAAAATTTTTCTCAATTCTCGCGACAACTGACCTGAAATGCTCGTACTTTCATTAATTCCCCGCTCAGATGCCAACAAAACCAATAAAATACTTCTAAAATGGCATGAAATTCCCCCAGAAACGTCATTCCATGAAAAAATCCCGGATTTCCCCCGGAAAATCGAACCTAAATTTTTTTTAATGCATTTTTATTCACTCTATTTTCGTAATTTTTATCAGAAATTTTTCTCCGTGTGATGTTCAGCGTTGAATAATAGAGTGATAGAGGGTAGGTTAGTTAGTCAGTGGTACGTCCTTTCAAGCAGACGATCCGGCAGGGGGAGGGGCTACAAGAGAGAGAGAGAGAGAGGTCGCAGTGGCGTTGGCCTAGATAGACGTCGCGGGGCCGACGGCCGTTGCACCTCTCGGTTATCGAACAACCGGGGCTCGAGCTAGCGGGAGTTCAGAGACTGGCTCAGCTGGAGGACTACAACCCCATTTTACCCAGGACTCCTACCCACAACTGCAGTACTGTCAAACAATTGATTTTAATTTGCCACTCATTCTACAATATACCCCCTCTCGCCCCTCGGCCCCTCCGCCCACCGCCCCTGCCTCTTAAATACCCAGAAACATGAAGACTCGACGATATATCGAAAATAATTAATACTCGGAGTGACACAAAATAGCATTGCAATTCCACGAATCGATTTTCATTCATAATTTCGCACTTTGATATTAACGATTTGATGTAACGAGCGGAGGGGGGGGGGGGAGAGGGGGTGGGGGTGCCTAATGCGAAAGTGCTCCAGTTTCTTTACATATCAAATGACACAGATCTTGGATCAATAAAGTAGTAACAGACATCAGGACGTATATCAGCCACATATGGTCTGACTATATCCCACAACAATCTACTGAAAATCTGACGGCTCGGGTTGTTCCACTTTCTACTATTGAGCGCATGACCCGTGTTGTTGAGGTGCCCCAGGGCAGGTTTTAGAATTATCGATGTGACTCATCATGATTTATCATCGGTATGACTGATGAAATGAGGTATTATGGGGTTATTATGGTGTTGGAGAGAAGTGCGCACGGAGAAAACGCATTTGAATGGAATAAAAGCATTTATTTGAAATATTTCTTTCAATTCGACTGAATTTTTGTTGATTGTTGCTTATGAAATCGTTTATTTACTTGGATAAATAGGCCACTCATGGAGAGTACATCATTTATTGGAGTCTGATGAATGACTAATTTGATCCAGATAAAGCATTATTACATGTTAATAAATTTGTTCTCTACTACGTGCAAACAAGGATTTCGATTGTAACTGATGAAGTCTTTGTTTGGAAAAGGGAAATATTTGTTTCTATTGAATAAAAATCGAGTTCAAGTCGGAAAAGCTTTATGACAAATTATTTGAATAAAAGTGTTCGTTTGAATCTTTTCTTCATTTCGTGTAGACAAAATTTTCATTGGAAATCCATAAATTCATATAATTATTTGAATGATAATGTTTCAATTATGAAATGAATTAATTCATTGCAAATGAATGAAAAAATCCTTCATTAAAATCAAATGAAATATTCTACTGGTGCATCTTATCACTCGATTTTTCGCACTGTTTTGGTTTTGATTAGAATTTAATTTTGCATTTGTAAAGAATCCCAGAGGAAAAGCAGTTTTGATTTTCAGGGACATATCACTGATTTTCGTAAATTTATCCCCGATTATTTGGATTGTAAAATTTAGTGATTTTGTCACCAACTTTCAGTGATTATCACTAAATTTTAGAGTAATATCACTAATTTTCAATGAGTCATCTCTAATATTCAAGAATCTATCCCGAAATGTAAATGATAAATATGACTTCTATGGTGAATTAGTAAACTAGGATAAGTGTTTTTTTAAAGCGTTTTTTCAGTAAATTGCTTCCCCACAATTTGTGAAGGCGGTTTCGGAAAAATCAAATTTGGTAAAAAATGCACTTATTCGATTTTATCAATGCACAACAGACTTATGATTAAGATCATTCTAGTCAGTGTCCACTATCACCAATAATTGATTATAAATTCCTGAAAATCAGTGACATGTCCCAGATAATCAAAACATTTTTTTCCCTGTGAAGTTCACCAAAACTTCATAGATTCAGCAAGAAATGAAAACACGAATTCAGAAATATGGAAAAAATGCGGATTTATAGCTAATTTACCGTTCCTTCGGGGTGATTCATCCCTAAGAGGAGATATCTTACCCCCATCCACGGATAATCCATCGTGTCTCGACGTAAATCACCTCCCAAACGAAATTATTTCACGCCCTAGGCAAAGAAGGGTAGAACACCCTCCAAAAAACGAAAATATACCCTAATCAGGGATCGATTTCCCCCACAGTTTTTAGCGAGTTGCGCCGATATTATTTTTCACCTCGGCAGGTGAATGAAAATTTTTAATGATGTAAAATAATCTCGAAGATCCTCTTGGGTAGGTGAATAATACATTTCTGAACAGAAATAAATTAAATACGCATTTTCAACGATAGATTACCTCCTCAGATTACCCAGAAGTTCATTAAACAAATTGGATTTAATCACGTGAGCCTGAAGTAATTAAGCGTAATGAAATCTAAGCAATTACCTCTCCCGACTCTCCTAGGGTTCTCAGCATAAATACCTCAACGACTTTTTCACAAACAAGTTCCCGTGGAATACCGAAGCGCTGGTGGAACATTTCGCCAGTCCATCGAGATATTTAATCTCCTGAGAGGCAGGACCGCTAAATAAATCAAAGTGCGAGTTCACCTTCACCCCACCATTCCAATACATCGGAATTATTCTAGCACTCGGAGTTTCCTATCCCCTCTGCACGTGATTTCCAGGAAATATCTGGATTTAAGTCGAATCCAATAGCGAAATCGAAGGATTCGAAAGTTTTCAGTGAATTATTTCACTCTTTCTTGATTCATTTCTCAACTTTGGACGTTTTGCAGAATGATTACGGCGTTACCAGTGCCTTCGGTGAAGGTCTTTCACAAGACCTACTACCATGAGAAAGGCCAGAGAATTGGGAATAGTCAGCCGGGCAGTCCACTCACGGATAACGAGGCTGCACTGGCACTGATGGAGAAGGATGAACTCGAGTACTACTTTTGTGGAAAGGTAAATATCATCACAATGTTGAGAATTTTTGGTTGAAATTCACGGTATGCTTCTTAGAAATTATCAAGTAACAGATTTGAAATTGAAACGAAATTCGCAACATTTACAATTTAAATTTAGCTGCAAGACTAATTTCAAGAAATTTCTGAAAATGTTTTATGAAAAAATTAATGGAAAAAGGCAATTATAAATTTTAGTTTAATTAGTCGAATTAGAAATTGATGGAAAACTGGAATATTCAAGTAAATACAGACAGAAAAAAACATTTTTGAGTTTTAACGATTCTATGAACTTTAGGAATTTTCGGAATGTTATGAACCAGAAGAGCTTTCCAACAAAAATGTAAAAGATCAAATCTAGCTGTTGCGTTAATTTCAAAAAATTTCTAAAAGTGTCATGAAAACATCAGTAGGAGAAAATCAATGGTAAATTTTACTTTCATTAAGTTTTAATTGACTGGAAAGTGATGGAAGTCTGGAAAATTCAAGTAAATACAGAGTGACAAACGTTTTCTAGTTTCAGGGATTCTATGAGTTTTTATGAATTTTATGAAGTTCATGAACTAGAAGAGCTTTCCGACAAAAATTTGGAAGGTCTATATATCTTAATTTTTTTTTTCAATCCTCAATTTTTAGAGATTTTTGACACTAACTAAAATTACTCAAAACTTTAGGGATTCAATGACTGAAAATAAAGGACAAAATTCCTAAGACTTGGAATCATGGATTTCTTGAGGCTTCAACTTTAATTGAAAATGCGGCGTTGTTTGGTACTGAATAGACCGGCTTTGTTTAAACATTTAGATAACTTGAGAAAATCTTGTCTTCATTCTCCTCAAAATTTGGAATTTCATTAAAATTGCAGTAAAATTTGAAATTTTCGGATTTTCTCGCCTCTAAACGACTTCAATGCCCCTCTCCTGAAAATTACTACTAGTGTCCGAAAAATTTTAATTTTTCGAACCTGCCAGTATTTTTTCATGCGCTCACACCCAGAGAAATGACCCATTTGAATCTCATTAAAAGTGTTAATCTTGATATGTCTTCATTCTAAATTTTCTAATTATGAAGTAATGCTTCAATTATGCAAAATAAATAATTGATTCATTAATTTTCTTCCCAATTTTTCGTTAAAAGTACTTCGTTAATAAAACTTGTTTATATTAAAGAGTTAAACATTTCTTTAATGTAAATGCAAATGCAAACAAAAATCCATTCATTTGATTTGCACAAACAATTCCTCTGGGTGCAGTCTCAACTATAAGTAACACCGATAACTTCCTCTTGTTCAGCGCAACATCCCGCAATCCAGCATGTTTACCCACCAATTTTTCGTAGTACTCCCTCCCCGGAAAATCGTTACTCATGCCCTCCCTCGCAATCCCGTGAATGAAATTACTACGCCACTTACAATGTCCCCGGGAAAGGGGAAAATATTCGAGTCACCCACGTGACTCAAATATGTTGATCAAGCCACCCACTGAATGCAACTGGAAAAATACATTTTATGGGTAAACGTGGGTGGGTATTCAGAAAAAGGTCGAATATGTGTGCACGCCAACACAGTTTGAAATACGTTGGGCGAGGCCATACATGCGTTCCAACAAATCCAGTGACGACTTGGAGAATTCAATTTCACAGAGCGTAAATAGCGATGATTACTGGTGTCACAATTACGTGGAAAACATGTCATCCTCTTAAGTTACAACAACAAAATGCTCGGGGGAAATTATATTCCCTTTCTGATGTACTACCATCTACTGATGTGAATAATTAATTTTTAATAAAATTCCTTTTTCTGAGGAAGTCAAATTGTCATGAGCAGTGCTGCAAATTTTTGGCCAGAATTTCCGAGACATTTTTTGGGATTTTCCATCAAGTGACAGAGTTACAAAAATTTAACGGGATTTTGTCATTGAAAATTGAAAATTTGATGATGAAATCAATGAAAATTTTGAACTTCTTTTCTATTATTCCTCGAAAATCAATAGAAATCAGGAAAATTCAGGTAAACAAATTCTTGAGTGGCTGAGCCTTGAAAATTCGTGACAATGTCATATGCAGTGTTACAAATTTTTGGCTAGAATTTGTGGCAGATTTTTTATTACGTGGGGAGCATGTCATCCTCTTAAATTACAACAACAAAATACTCGGGAGAAATTATATTCCCTTTCTGATGTACTACGATCTACTGACGTGGACAAATAATTTAAAAAACAAATTTTTTTTTCTGGGCCAGTCGAATTATCATGTACAGTGTTACAAATTTTTGGCTACAATTTCCGGAACACTTTTGAATATTTCCATCAAGTTCTATGTTCTACGTGTTTGAGGCCATTCGACTTTCAATTTTTACGGGCCGTTATCCCTTTTAATCGGGAGGTTTCATTTATTAGGAGATAGATAATGTCGAAAGAAACTGGAGGTTATCCTTTTTAATTAGGATTTTTTCTTTAACAATGGGAGTTGATTGTAAAGATGATAAAATTAGAGAGAGTCACTTTCTGACTTCATTTCCATCCAGTGACAGATGTATAAAAATTTCACGCGATTTTGTGATTAAAAATTCAAAATTTGGTGATGAAATCGATGGAAACTGTAAATTTCTCACCAATTATTCCTTGAAAATCAATAGAAATCAAAAAAATTCAACGAGTTGCTCTAGAAGATGATCATATTAGTTCTGACCTTGAGCGACCTCCCTCAATAATTATCAACATTAAAAAATTAATGGAAATTCTTCCCTCTAGAAAGTAATAAATTGAAGAAAAATGAAAAATCATTAGGCGGAGTTCATCCAAGGTCATGTCCAGCATAGTCATCCTCTAAAGCAACACGATTGCTATCGAAAAAATAAATGCGTCTCTCAAGGAAATGAATATTCGGCAAAAATAATTTTTTTTTCCGTGTTAGATATATGTAATGCAATTCATGGATAGTTCTTGAAGGATTATTCTCCACGTGGCCTCTCAAGAACTTCTGAAACAAGACGAATTATCTTTTTCCGAATGAAGATCGATGTTCTAAATTTTGTGAGAATTTTTATCCTCTGTGCTAGAATATCCGATAAAACGAGTGATAATTTCCCAATGTTCTCCGACAAAGCCCGAAAAAACCTTCGTAACCAACGACGCAGTTGAGTGTTAGTGGAAAAACGATGATAGGGCTGAGTGGATTTTATCGGAGAAATCCACGATATCCATCAGTGATTCAGGGTGAGTAGGGTGAGAGAGTGACGTCGGCGGTGGGGTACGTGGGCGAGTAATTTTCCTTCTCCCTTCCGCCACTAGAAGCCACCCGCCAGTGTAGTCCAATCCACCTGTCGAGTGAAATTACTTGAGGTACGCCTGCGAGTGAAAGACGAATAGAAAACAGGGATAAAAATGTCCGACGTTTCCATTTACTCCTTTGCATAATTAAAAAGGAACAATTCAGCGGGTCACCAGAATTTTTCCTTTGTACTTCATGAGATCAGAGGAGTGCTTCTCTGTCTTTAATTGTTCGGAAACTAAAGATGGAGGAGGATATCCTCTTAAAGATATCCAAGTACTTTGGATATTTTTTTTTTGGGTGAAAACCTAGTCAACTTTTGCAGATCAACATGGTATTGAATTCGATTTATGTGGGAAAAAATATGAAATTTCATCCTTCACTGAAAATTCAATCAAAACATGAATATTCGGCATCAAATTATGCGGAATTATCACTGAATTGAAAATCAAAAAAAATATTTACATAAATTTTTCTGATTGCCAATAATTTTAGTGAACTGGAATTTTTCCAATCAGACAAAAACCGCGGCATCGAATCCCCCTCATCCCAGTCTCCTCGTTGAATAACAGCCATATTTCTCCCCAGATAAACGCTCTTCACGTGGTGGTATGTTCGCTGCTGGCAGGGGCCATTGTTCTTGTGGTTGGACTGGTTCAGTTGGCGCCCGGTGCCGAGGCTGCACAAAACTCAACAGCACTCATTGGCGGTGGATGCGCCCTCTTGTCCATTGGGGCACTCCTGGCACAGCTGAGAGCACTCTGGATAAGGAGACAGAAGGCCGCACAGAAGGATGGCACTCATCAGAGAAGTGTCACGAGTATAGACATGCTTTTAGCACAGCACAGGTAACTAACACCCTCCATATAATGCAATAACCATCACGAAAATGTCATTATCCTCTGAATGACAATTATTGAAGTTTAAAAATAATCGATAATCGGAAATTTCTCCTTTAGAGAACTGCGCAGCAGTCGCTTTCACTCGATTGGTTTCCCACGTGTTATTTCGAAATTAAAAAAAAAGTTTGATGACTCGACACTTGTTTTTCATGTCAGCACCTCAATCGTTCAATAATGGCTGCCCTCGTGGTGCGAACGGAAACGGAAATCGTGGCTATACAATAGACCTATTTCAAGAGCAAAGTGGGAAATCGTGATGATTGAAATCCAATGTTTTTTTTCTGTTAATTGTGCATTTGTATTGGAAACGAGGTGTTTTAGGGAACAATGCCAAGACTCTTTTTTATAACTAGAGTTATTTTTAACGATAAATGGATTGAACAGTTTTCTCTAAAATTACTCGTCATTGGAACGATTCGATGAAGGGTACACCTACGGAAATATACTATTCTGGCGGATATGAATGCAGAACGTGCCTTCGGTTCATTGGAAAATTAAATTGGAAAATCAATATTTTTGCACTAATTATTCACTTTTAGACATATATAATCCATCTTCTATCCATGAGAAATATCACTCCTACAGCCCGCGACTTTTAAAACTCACAGCACACGGAGAGAAATGTTCAGTAAAAAGTACGGAACTCCCAATTCACTCACCGATTGCGAAATGGACTCAGAAAATTTAGGTGACGGTATCGTAATTTTTCACAGGAGGTTCAGACAAAAATTACGGAACGCTCTGGAAAAATTCCGTGACAGTTCCGTAAAATTTCCTACAACTACAATTCGCTCCGAAATTACGGAAAAGATACGTAATTTTTATTGAATATTTCTGTCCGTGCAGCCTTAAATCGTCGTCCCCTTAAATCCTCCTGCCGCTTCGCAACTGAAATCGTTAATCCCAAGCTATTGTCTATCAAAAACGTACCCCTCCACCCCACTCAACCCCTTGCTCTATAATTAACTCCCCTCCAACACGCATATCAAGAATCCCCTAACCACCCTAAACTATTCATTTCCCCAGGGACTTCACCGTCCTAACACCGGACGAACTCGAGGATCTCGTGGGCCGACCCACCCCAGCTCTTGAAAGCAAAATTCGTAAACAAGGTCACAATACCTAGGTATTGCAAGCCTCGAAAAGGGTAACATCATCATCACCCTGTGCAACAACACCCTCATCGTTATCCTCGTCATCCGCATCACCCGGTACCAGCTCCTCCATTCTCTACACGCATCGTTACGACTCACGTGAGCACAGTCTTGTCTGAGAATAAACGTACGTAAACACCTGTGAATAAAATCCACACTTGATACGTCAAAGATGTCAAGGACTCGAGACACTAGACCATTTATCTGAGGAGAATGTTTTCCGAATGTACTGGTGGTTCAAAGAACACATCCACAACGTCATCGTTACCGTGAACAATTCAACTTGGAGAAGTCCAATTGAATCATAAATAATTGATAAAAAAACTAAGGAATTTGACAATTTAAATTGATGATAATTTCGTCGAGCATAAGTGAATTAGATTTTTAATCATTAAAAGTGTAATATTATTTTCATGGAATTGTCGACGAGGCGTGTCCTTGAAGGACCAATAATGCGCATTTACTTCTGGCGTCAATGTGTTCGAATTGTAAACATTATCTTGTAATTCCTGGGGAATACGAGTTGATCGAATTCATCTGGGGGGGGGG